ATATAGTGCAGTTTCTCTGAGCACTGAACAGTCTTTGGGGTGGATCTGAATGCTGCAGACTAGCAAACTTGCTGCCTCCACCGTGTTTTATAGACAGCTATAGACACTCACTGCTGTAGCGCTCTCCTGACCTCCTCTGCATATGATGATGATGATTTAGACTAAATTTGGAGTCATCAGTCCATCAAACCTTTTGCACCTGATTTGCAGTCCAGGTCATGAGTAACTTGGCATACCTCAGCTTCTTTCCCTTGCTTTACATTCTTTAACACGATCCCTGCTAATGCTAACATGTTCCAGCAGTCTGTGTTTTCCCATCAAGCAATAGTGTTAAACTTTGAGTTTTTGTTCTTTCAGTCGTTGGTTGACACACCATTTAGTCACTGATAGGCTGATACAATAACATTGCTTTATGATTTCTTGTTAAGATTTGCTTATTAATAGTAAATGTAGGCACTATGGCAGTATAATAGTACCACTAATATTAATATATATAGAGAGAGAGTCTGGATGGCATTACCTTGATAGCTATAAGAATAGATTATTCTTGGCCAAGAACATTTTCTTTAACAAGCAAACTAAGAATGCCCTCTTTCCTCTGCCAAGTAAACCAAAGACATACTGAAGCTTCTAAGATGCACTATTGATTGGAATTACTTATTATAAGGCTGTTCTAAAAGCTCCCTGAAAAGCCTTCAGCTGATGAAAATCAAGAGATCATATATGTCCACAGTGGATATTCTTTTTAATGGCTGTAAAATCCACAGTTGGCAAACCCTTGCTGATCAAGTCATATCATGATATCACTGCAAACCCACCAAATCAACGTAACAAACCAACGACTGAAATAGTTCTGTTAGAGATCTCTTGCTGTTAACATTAAGTTCTTTCTTCCTCCCTGCCACCAAGTGTTTGCTCATACAGCCTCATCTGATTGTCAGGATCCTCTCACTAATGTCTTTAGCTTATAACAAAATGCACTTTGAGATGACCATTCCTGTGAAACAGCTCTACATAAATAAAACTGAACTGACCCGGACGTGTAACATTAATAAGGAGTGGTTTGCTTGCTCCAACTCCTTCTGCCTCATCTCAGCATCCTTGGCACTCTGCTGATCCTTCTGCAGTTTCCTGATGTAGTCTACAGAAGTCTTGAGAATGGTGCCTTTATTCCAGCGCATCTTTCTGTCATTATTGCGATGTCAGTAAAGATAAGAAGGACAATAGAGGCAGAGGACAAGATCATGATTTATACGCCTAATGCGTGGCCCCCTGGCATTAAAATTCAAACAGTGTAACTTTATGTGAGCAGTGGGAAATGAAAGCACCAGTAAGACCTACGGGTCTGATGACTCGGGTATCAAAGTGCCCAACTCCTTTATGCGGTCACTGATGTTGAACCAATGCCTCCTCTCAACTGCTACCAACAAAGCAAAGGCACACAAGGTCACCTCCAGCAATCAGCTGGTATTAAGCAGAAGTGCACAAACAACTAAATAGGATGTTGTGATTCTGAATCTGAAATGCTAGCGTTCATGTTACGAAAAACTAAACTGTTTATTAAAAACTAAATAAATAAATGAAACAAGACACATGTTTATAAAAGAAGAAGAAGTATAACGAGTACACTTATTGTAATGTGATTTTATTCAAACTTTGAAGCACTTTGTAACTGTGTGCTTTAAAAACTGCTACACAAATAAACTTCTCCT